TGGTCTCATCCAGCTGTTTCTGGAAAAGCAGGGATATCTGCTTCAGCTCTCCCCAGCCTGGTGGAGTGGATCTCCCAGCCGGTCAAAGAGTGAGAGACTTGTTGAAACGGGGAGACACGGCACAGAGTTGCTTCCTTAAGCGTGACGATGCTTACAGACCTTCAGGGTCACTAACTGATGCTTTTATTGGCCAGTGTCATGGCTGTTATGTTGGAATCCTCTCCTTTGTATGCAGTAAGAATGCAGAGCCAGGGGAATGGATAGCTTATGAGGATAAGCAGAGCAGCATCTGAGAGCTAGAAAAAAATGATCACCCAAAGTATGTAGTCAAAAGACTGTTCTGTTACATGTCGATCACAGAAGCCTAATTAGTGGACGAACAGAGGGCTTCTTGCTTACTCTGGGTGACAGCCCTGGAAGGCAAGGGAATCAATCATTCTAGAGAGTAGAACTGGCTATGCTACCTCATTTAAAAAAAGTGGTTGAAAGGCTAGTGTGTACTGCAACCGAAGAACAAAAACAACTATTACTACTTTTTTACCTAGAAGATTATATCTATTATAGCTGGAAGTGGTTGTGAGTAACAGCAGTTCTTTGGATTGACATCAACAGGGGAAACAGGGTTTTACTGAACTCATAGCTACCCTTTATTTTGTCGGGTACCCACACGAAAAATGCCTTAATTCTTTGGAAAAAAATTAAATGTAATGTAATCCAAACGTAATGCAAGTGTGAGACCACCAGCCCATGGGGTGTAGCTCAGCCCAGAGAAGGTGTGTTTGTAAATTATGCTCCTGCTGTTGCTCTGAAGTTCTGGGAAGATTCTCCCCAGTAAACCCAGTAGAGTTAAAAAAATACAGAGAGGAATGGTGCTGTGGTGTGATGGTGCTGGGAGGTGGTCCCTTGATGTTATTGCCATCTGGGGCAGAGTTTGTTTGAGAGGGGAAAAGTATTTTCACAGAAACCTTTAGGAAGGGGTGCACCATGTTTTATACAGGACTGCTTCTTTTATCAAGCGGAACACCATTGCTCCTCACTTTGAGTACTGCTCATAACGGGTGGTCTTGTTTAGCTTCGTTAATAGTTCCCTGCAGTTTCTTTGTGGAAGATCTCTGTCTTTTGCCCTGCATTTACCCTGTAATGTTACAGTAATTGTGTGTTTCGCATCTTTAGTGTTCCTGTGTTGGGCACTCAATCTTTGCACAAGATTGGTGAATGATAGTACTGTGCTCTTGCATGATAATGGCTTCCTGTGTGTCTTCTTTACAAAACTCAGACTGCGTGGGCAAATGTAATTTTTGGTGTCGGCGCTCTGTTTAGTGTGCAGCATGAGTCTGTTCTTCCGGTCTCTTCACACATCTAAGCCAAAGGTAATTTAAGGCATGTGTGCCATGTGTTAAAAAATCACCCACTGATTGAAAGCAAACTACAGTGAACAAGTCCTTTTGAGCATCACTTCCAGGTAACAGGTATGTGTCTTAATGAAGCACTGTCGTGATTGATCATTGCTGGAAGTGTAAGCGGAGTTTAAACTATAAAAACACAGATCTTCTTGATGAACTGACAGGGAGAGACATTGTTAAAAAGGATGGAAGAATGCAGGAATCCTTTTTTTAAACACAACTCTTAAGTTGAAGGTCTCTTTGCAAAAATGTGTGCCTGCCTGTCTAAAATCAGCCAGAATCAACTGGCAAGAGTCTGTTGCTGAAGAAGTAACCTAATCCATTGAAAGCAAAGATTCCCGATGAGTTTGATGAAGCATTCAGTGGAATTACACCAGGGGAGTAATGTACAAGAAGGCACACTACAGGAAGGTAGACACTCCAGAAACATTTGTAATTTCTCAAAACATCAGTGAAAATTGAATCACACTTGCTCTGAATCAGCCAGGTCATGTACTCGAGTCCTTACTAAATACAGCTACAAAACAGAACTCATCCCGCGGTCAAATGACAGAGCTGCAGTCATGGCTGCTGAAGCTGGGTGGTCTTTGCTCTTCAAGCCCTTGCTAGAAAGAGAAGGTGCTCAGGATTTATTTGTCTACTGCTTCGGCCCATGAGTCTGGGATTTGGAATGAACATACGGACGTATGAAAGACTGTAACCGACAGGAGCCTATTCGACCCAGAGTAGCTCATTCAGCTGTTTCTGGACATGTAGCAGGTAGCACAGGCTGCCCCAGTCTGGCGTGAATCTTGGCAAAGTCTGACAAGTAGATGCAAGGGCATTGATAACCTAGCGGGCGGTGATAGTGGTCTAATGGTCTAATTCTTCTGTTGGAAGGCAGTGTTTGGCTTTTAGAAATTGTATAGGTACTATACAGTGGAAAAGGAAAAGTGTCAAGTTCCCCAAAGACCCACCTCATGACTACTGGAAGAATGTTCTTCGCACAGATGAGTCAAAGGTTGAACTTTTGTGGCCACAATCAGAGACGTTTTGTGTGGCAAAAACCAAACTCTGCTTCCAGCGTAAGAACGTCATCCTAACTGTCAGGCACGCTGTGGGAGGATTGGAGTCTGCAGCTGCTTTTCTGCCTCGCGAATGGCTTCCCATCAAAAACGAGGCCGTGCAGTCAAAACAAGCACAGAGGGCTTCTTGAGCATTTCAGCACCCTGCTGTGTGAGGCACTGGCTGCGACATGCAATGTTGACAAGCGTGTTCTTGATCATAGCATTCAATGATGATCCCATATCATTACCCTGATTCCCTGCTTGACAACAGTAATATAGCAGGAGAACCCTGTGTAACGTGGCCCTACTTAATTCTACACAAGCATTTTAACAAACGTACATTTACACTCAAATGATAATTGTAGTTGGCACTGGTTACATACCAAAGACTAAGGTTTATGTTATGTATTAAAACTCTTGTTTAATTGTGTGTGATCAGTTTACTCTTGGATTTGAAGTGGGCTGGTTAGACAGGATAAGGTGTGAAGGTAATTAAAGTGAATTCAGGGCTCTTACTGACTGGACTTGGCAGAGGCCTCCAGATCTCCAGCTCTTGTTGTCTAAGACAGATTTGGAAGTTGAGCTACTTCCAATAATCTGCAGCACTGGGATAACATGGAGCTCTTGCCTGCTCCCAGGAGACTGCTAATTGAGCTCAAAGTGCAGACGAGAGGCTTGATGAGTCACTGCAGATGTACAGTTGAGGACAGTTGTATTAGTGCAGTGTGTCCAACAACATTGCAGAGAACAGCCCCCTGTGGAAGAGCTCATGCTATGCCATCTAGGCACCTGTTTACTGAAGCTGCAATTCAACGCTTTTAGCCAGCATTTACCCTTATGGACAGATTTAATAGGATTTTCAAATAGCCCCCTTTGCCCCAAATGAGCACAGAGTGCTTTCAAAACTGAAATACTGAAGTACTTTAGCACTATGCTTAGTACTAAAAAATAGCACTAAGTACTAAAAATGTACCGCTCCCATAGACGTTTTTTGTTTTGCCAACAGAGGTAACTTCATTGAAGTCCTTTAATAAAATGCATTCATTCCATATTTCTTTTGGCTTTTAGTTTCAGAAAACAGCTGACTTCACTCTCCGTATTCGGTGAAATGGAATAATTGCCAGAATTCAACAGCTTTGGTCCTGCCACAGCAGGTTTCACCCACTTCCTGCCTAACGACATTTACCTGATTCTATGACCGTTTTGGTGCTTTAGGCCGATGGTTGATTCTGCCTAATTATTTGGTGAAGACGCTTTTGCAATGTGCGGGTGTATTTTAGGATTGCTCGTTGCTTCGAATTTCCGACGCACAGCTCATCTCTCCAAGCCTGCTGGGCAACCGTCTGTGAGGCAACAGATACCATACTGGAAACAGTAATCCCTGGAAATGGGCACTGCTCATCCATATTTAAAGCGCTCACTGATAAAATATTCAGTGGTACTAAGAGAGAGAAAGGGTCGCCTTGAATAGGATAGGTATACATCGGCACCTACAAGCACTTTCTTCCCATTGTAACAATGCTCTATTGAATCAAGTTATTCTGGAGAAAGTAATGAAATCGTGTAAAAACAATATCCCTATGGTGTGGACTTGTTTGTGTGCACTTCACACTTCACCCAGTATTAGGCATCTCATTCCTGGAGTGCCATGTGTCTGCCTAATTGTGCTCTTCCTTCTTCCCCTCTCGTACGTGACATGCATTTAAATGGTGAAATGGGCTCAGTTCTGAGGATCAGGTCAAAATATCGTGCATGAGAGTGTTTCAATATTGTACCGTCCATGGGCCCTGGCCAGCACCTGTAGGACTGTGATTCTCTTGGGATGGGTGTTTTGCATCTTAAGTGAATTTAAGTCACTGCCTCTCATAACAGTGTCTCCAAGACCTGTGTCTCAAGGGCTCTCTGTTCCTTAATAAAGTGGCCTCCTCTCCTAACCACACTGTTTCTAAAGTTCAGTGAGACAAAGCAGTCTAACCAACATCTGCTCTAAGAACTTCCCAAAACAGTGCGATTCAGCATATTGTCAACCTCGACTTCAAATTTTTTAAAAATATTCTTACAGTTCTGCCTAACATAAGCACTTCCCCACAATTGCGCGGGCCGAAAAAAAAATCTGTCTATCACACCGACAAGTTTCCTATGAAATAAAAAGCTTAATAATAATAATAATAATAATAATAATAATAATAATAAACTTTATTTTATATAGCACCTTTAAAGGTGGCTTCTCAAAGCGCTTTACAGGATGACAATAACAATAAATAAGAAGAATACAACAATAAATAAGAAGATTTCACAAGACAAGACACAATTACAACAATAACAATAGAGGAGACCGTGGAAGGTGGTATTAAGAAGAGCAGAGGGGTGAAGAATGGAACCAGTTAAGTAAAGGCTTTTCTGAAGAAGAAGGTTTTGAGTCTGGAAATCAAACAAATGAGCAAGCAATGCCCTCAAAATGCCTACCGTGCATGTTACAATAACGAGTTCGGACAAGTAGGAGAGCGTTACTTTTTTTAAGCTGTTGTGGGGGGGGATGTCGAATGATTGGGTTACGGTTTTCAATTCGTGACTGGAATCGAGGTGTTTTCCTGCCGTCTAGTTCCTTTTCTTATAATGTGGAAGGAAACCGCCCGCCTGGAGATTGAAATTGATGCCCTTGTAACCCCAATGTGACTGAAGCAGCGAGGGAAGAGGTTTTTTTTGGGGGGGGGCAAACTGACGGAAAGCCAGCCCTGACCGAGTATGAGAGGAAGAGAGGTGGTGAGGGGGGCGAACCTGACGCGGTGTATTTCGTCCGCTGACTGAAAAGTGTCGCTTTAATTTCTACGACTACAAAGTAACGGTGCGGAGAAATGCACTTGCGAGTCGTAGACATTGTTGTTTTTTTTTTTTCCCTTTCTTCGTCGGCTTGCTGAGTGAATAGCTTGGAGAGAAGGGGGAGAGAGACGGTCAGTCTAAATGCAGAAGGAGCTTGGCTGGGAATTCAGCTCACGCTTAAAATAGAAGGACATGCAAGCGCTCACGGACGATAGCCATGGGCGTCCCAGCCTGTAATAAGGTACATGCCGAGGAGATCTACCTCATCTGTTCATGAAAGGTAAAACGCTGTTACGGCTTTGGATGTTACAGCGTTACGTTGTCGTCTGCGTGTGTTGTTTTTGTGCCTCTTTCCCCGGCGTGGTGCGGGAGTCCTGAATTAGCTAGGCCTTGAACGCCGACTCGAATCCCCGGGAATTTCCTGACAGGGGCGACCGAAAATCGGGACGGCATCGCGGTGGTTCGTTTTTTTTTTTTTTTTAAACTCGGCGAGCGTTTAATGTAAAGTGTGGCCGTGTCGCGGGTAATTTAAATTTATTTCTTTTGAAAATCTAAAAAAAAAAAAACGATGACTGTTTTTCTTTTTACTGATCACCTTTGTTATGTCGTGTTGCAGTTCTTTCTATTAGTTTGGGGGTAACGTTGGGGGGGAAATACACGTCCCTGCCTCTCAGTTTGTAATATGTGTTCTGTAGTGTTTTAATAAGTATTTCTCTCAGTTGTCGGCAGGGCTACATTGCTCTTGTTGCTGGCGTTTCACATAACGGGTCTCGGTTCGCCAGAGGGCACATTTTTCAGAGACGGACCGCAGGATTGCTGTAACGGTCTGGTCCGCTGGCTATTTCAGTTATTGACAGCCGAGGAGGGCTATGTACAGAAAACTGAATGTCACAAAATGTAATTAGTGCTTAAAAAAAACTTGTAGTCTGCCTGTTCACTGCGCTGGGTATTGCTCTGATCGGCGAATTGTATCGTTTGCAGTTTAAGTTTGCAGAAGCGGTGCCCATTTATCTCTCTGTTCTTATTGAAACTGAAGTGGCCATCCTTTATCAAAACCGGTGTTGCTATTTTTGGGCTGTCGAGAAGTTACAGAGAATCGTGGACGTACTTTTATCGAAAAGCCGTCGTGTGAGTCAGGCCTGGCGTTGGCAAACTCTCAAAATAGGTTCTGTGGAAATAACCTTACACGTCGTCCAAGCAAGCAAGGTATAACGGCGCTCATCCAAAAAGTTTCGACACCAACGAGCAGTGCATTGCGGGTATCGTGCTCAGCAGGTATAGTTTTAATATTATTTTGCTAAAACCATACTATATGAAAACAGGATACAAGTTTGAGGTCTAGTGGTGTTTTTTAAACTTTTAATTTTGATTACCAAGCCAAGCGTATTGACAGAATTTATTTTCCTGTTAACTCGGTAATAAGAAAATGTTATTTAAAGGAGAAATGTTTTTTTTTTTCATTTTTTATTTCGCGTGGTAGTGATATTTAACATGCGATTGTGACAATCTGAACCAAGTGAAGAATCATTTTCTTGCTTCCTTGTACAGGTTCAGTAGTCATGCTTGCAGCAGATGGTTGGCATAATTGATTGAGCCAAATCTGGTCTCCAAAAAGAAATCAGTAAAGACTTATAAGAGGCAGGTTTTGGTATCTGTAAGAGATCCTATGTGTTTTTGTGTTCTTGAAAATAATTAAATATTATACACCCCACATTCTTAGAACTGTACCCCGGGTGCTAAACTGCTTTATTTCTGTCTAATGATTTAAAGTTTAAATTGAGTTCCAAGTGCCCAGGCTTGTAGTGATGTCAGTCTGTGTGATGTACTGATATGAACATTATAGTCCATAAATGAGTGGCTTAAATTTGCAAAAATTAACGAGATGTACGAAAATATGAAAAGAATGGGCCTTGTAAGTATATTTGTTAATTTGTTTAAAAAAAATGGAAAACCTCCATTTTGTCTTCAAAATATGAAAAGAATGGGCCTTGTAAGAATATTTTTTAATTTGTTTAAAAAAATGGAAAATCTCCATTTTGTTTCCTCATATTTATGTTTAATCCTCATGTTTATTCCTCTCTTTTTCTAGTTAAGCCTCGGCTTGGCTTTAAATTGTGGTTCGGACATGCCACGTCTGTTGCTGTGGTGTGACCCTCAAGAGGCTCTGAGCTTTGTTTGCCCCGGAAGCGTGGCATTGCTCCTGCTAGGCTAACAGACTGACTCAGACCCAGTTAGACCCAGTTAGAGTGCAAGGAATCTTGAGAAGCAAATGGTAAGCATATTCCAGTGTGTGTAGCTGTGCCCAACTGGGATCAATTCACAGTGCTGTCTGCTGTTTAGAGGCTGTCTCTCAGGGCTAGCTGTTCGCTAGTGTGACTGCTCTGAAGAGGAAAAGGCAACACTGTCGCGTTTCTGGTTCATCCCTGGGCTGTGCTCTCAGGGTGCTCTCTCACCCCTCAACACGACGAGCTCGTGCCCAAGACCTCTCGCACGCATGCATTGTAGCACCGTCCTGGGCTACCTCAGGGCAGCCTTTCCTCAAGTGGGAGCGGTCCCGAAATGAACAGGACCACCTTAACTTTAGGCCCCCTTTTTTGGTGCAGCCCGTGGTGAGGTCAAGGTGAGCACACAGTCGAACCCAAGACCAGCGAGAGCTTGTAGGTGACAAGTGACTTCTAGTCAGCAGATGAAACAGGGAAACTGAGGCATTTGGAAGGAGAACAGCTCTTGGACTGTCTCAGCAGTATAGAATGTTGTTTAATATAGTCTTGAGTAATAACAGGCATCTACGTAGGCTTCAAAGACGTACGGGCTCAAAATTTGACATCATCGACAGGGGCTTCCCACTTTTGCAAAAGACTGTTTAGATCCTGTAACACAACTCTTTAGCCTGTCCTGCCTGTCATTCAGTTTTGCATAAAACTATAGCACAGATGTGATTTCAGTCAGGTTGCCACAAGGTGGTTTGTTGTTGGTGATGGTTATGTACTGTACCTTGAATTAAAATAAATGCCTCATCAGAAATGGTGATCTCATCTGGCGCTTAACAGGTTGTAACAAGTTTTTCTGTTGTAAGCTATACGTGTCAGCACTGGAGGTTTTCAAAGAGTTTTTGGAAATGGAACGTGGCATGTAAACCGCAGTTTACTTTGAGCCCTGTTAAAGCATGTAAATGATTTTCTGTGTTTTTTTTTTAACCAACTCAGTGGGCTGTACAAACCACGCACGGTACACAACAAAAGTGAAAAGTAAGTGGCGGAAGAGCACAGCAAACCGATCTTGTGAAACCAAGGTCACATGGTAAAACCTGTAGCGTGAGATGACAGGTGTTTAGGCAAATCTGAAAGTGTTGACGTTAACAGAGTCTCAACTAGATGTTAGCAGTGAGACCGACGTGGAAGGCTCTCTCATTTTGTGGAGCGTGGTCTTGAGCAGACCGGATTAGCAGATCTCTTAATTACACGCCTGCATTCTAACCCTTGAAGCTACCTTGATCAAGACCATTCAGTGAGCAGGTGAACCTTGAAGTCCCTTCTTCCGTGTTTCACGAGGAGTGATGTGATGTTGCAGCGTACTCTGTGTTGGCATGAGAGCCACAGACTTCTGGCCCTACAAAGTGCTATTTAGTATACATGCATTTCAAAGATTTCATTTCACCATTCTCAGGACCAGAACTGTAGTCGCTAGCTTTGTGAAGGTGTTGTTGGGTGCCCATGAGTATAACCTCAGTCATGAGCAAGTTCTGTTGCTTCCATATCTCACGATACAAATGTCGGTACAATGCAGAAACGACAGCAAAAGCGTCTGGATCGGTCTGCAAATAATTCTGAATGTCATCAGCACAGGCATGAATGATCTGACCAAGTGGCAGCGTACTAATACTAATTGTTCCCTGCACAAAGACCTGTGGAGCACCTTGAGAGAGCCAGAAAACAGATCTAAAAACAACCTGAACCAGTGATCTCTAGCTAATATAACAAGATCTACAGTAGGATGGTGTAATTGACAGTATCCAAAATCCAGAAAGATAAGAATTATATAGAGGAAAAGAATCAGAATCATTATCTACCTTCACAAGAACTGTTATAGTGCTGTTGCTTTTTTCCCAGGCCCACCCGAAAAGGTTCGAAGAGTTGGTTCGTTGTAACATGAGATTGCAACTGAGCTGCTACCACCAGTTTCCACAGTTTGTGAAAACACATCAAATGTGTGTGTTTACGGGGGTTGGGGGGTGGAAAGAGTTTTTTCTGATTACAAATCAAATTTCCTGCCCTGTAACGAACATGGTGGAATTGTGGAACATCTGTGATATCAGCCCCATCTCATGCACCTCCTGCTCTCATTGATAGAAGAGGAAAGGACTTTGGCAAATGCACTGCAATGCCGTTTCTATAAAATTGAGGGTCCCATTCATCTCAAGCGAGCAACTTCAGCTTTTTAAAAATGTCATTGTTTCTTGCATGTTTTTTGGATGTTATTTTAGACAATTAGCTTATAAAATCCGAAATATACATTAGTAATAATTGGAATTGAAAGCCCTGCTGCTAAGCTCCTGTGAGCTCTTCATCTGTTGCAGGTATTGTAGGATGCCAACAAATGAAAACGTTAAATGCCGTTAAATGAAAGGATCAAGACTAAAAGTCTGAGGCTTTGTCAGCTTGTGTACTCTAAAGGAAGAAAACTAAAACTAAATGAATGCTGCAATGCCAGCATCCATTCGCTACTTAATGATGTGGTCTGAATGCTACGTTTGATTTTATTCATTGGAACGACTTAATACAGTACAGCAACAGTGCAATAGAAAACCCACTTGATTTAATAATAATTTTGACTTCTGCTTAAAACAGTTGGTGGCTATCAACATTTTTAACCAGTGTCTATCACTCACTCATGATGTTTCTGGGAGGAGTTACATATTTTTGTAGTTTGAACGTGAGCAAGAGATGTTCTCTTTTTACTAATTTCGGGCTATGTGCTGTAATGGTCTGTCAAAAGGAAAGAACTTGACTGTTGTCCTGGAAAACTAGGGTTTTTTATTAGCACCTACTGACCTGGGTAATGTCAAGTAAGTACATGCCCCAGTGATTTGGCACAAGTGTAATTAAGTTAAGATGGCAAAACTTAATGACACTTGTTGCATCTTTTCTGTGTAACATGTTGTCTAGTGCTGATGATGCATGTTTTTTTCCAGCAGGTTTAATGACTTTTATATGGCTCAACCCTGTCTGTCAGAATTTTTGCAGTTTGCAAAGGTAAAATAAACAAGAAGGATCAATGATCTGATTGTTTTATGGCATCCAAGAAAAAACATAGTGCCAAACCACTGACCTCTGCACAGTCAACGCCCCACTAACCTGAATTTCATGTATGCGATCTTGCCACTTCCCTGTGAACAGGATGTCAACAATTCCGCTGAAATCTCACTGTGCGGGTTTAGGAATGGGATACGTGCAGTGATACTGTGTGATACTGTGTGGTACTTTGAGCACAACTCGTACATCCAGCCAGTAGAATTTGTGGGTGTGTGTGTTGATAAAGTAGTACTGACAGTGTGGATACAAAGCAGTAAAGGAAAGGTCCTGACGTAGAACATGTTTACAGTGCTTAAGAACAAATTAATTTACCAGTTTTAGAATTGGACAAATACGGAAGTGCATTGCTGCCACAAAGAGAAAACATCCTTCGCCTTGTCTCGTCATTACGAGACAGTAATTCTCGCGTACTTTGTGATCATGCAATAGCACAATTGTCATAATACCTATATCCCTACCTGCGGACTTACAGTTTTAAGCAGTGAAACTGATGGCACGTGTAACTGTTCCTAACGGAACCATCGTTGCTTTGATCTCTAAATCCCACAAAACTGGTCTTCATGCTTGTGATGATTCTCTTCATATTTGCTAAAAATCATACGATTTCTTTATGACTTAACCACAGTTGAAAGTAAATCCGTACAAATCCTGCTGTGCTGGATGTTGACCCAAGCATTACACCAGAAGTACCGGCAGCTTCTAGATGCGTTCAGTGCACAGGGTAACAGGTTGTACAGTGCATATGCTAAATCATTATCTAGTAAATAAGAGATAAGGGGGCGAATGTTTTTCCCTTAGTGGCAGCAATGCGCTTCAATTAAGACATGAGTGTAATGCAGCACAAAAGCGAAAGGTGTGGTTGAGAGCCGAGATCACATATGCTGCTTAAACAGGTAGAGCTAGTCAGGTACTTCTGCTTATGATAACCCATCACCCAAAAATAGGAACTGTGGCAGCTTTCTACTGACACCTGTGAATTATCCCAACAGCAGTAGATTTCAGCAGCATGTTTGGATCAGTAATCAATGCTGACATGCCACACAAAGGCCCATCATATCAGTTTACAGCTCGTACAGGTTGGTTAAATATTTCCAGCTTTCTAGAATGAAACAGTCAGAGCCTCTATTTAAGGCAGTGATGTAGAGAAGTGGTTGAGTTAACCTTTATATAACGTACAGTATATTACAATAATACAGTACAGCAACAGTGCAATAGAAAACAAAATTCAACAAGATTGCTTAATTGGAATTCTTCAGGTACCGTAGAAACGACAATTAGCTTGTAAAAGTTTAAAAACAAAAATATCCTTAACTGCAAACAATTTTCTCTGTTTAAATGTGAGAGGTTTTCATTGAGCATTGTTCAGAGTTATGGAGAATGAACTGGAAGTCTGTGCGTTCTAATATCAGGGGGTGGGGGGAGGGGGGGGTTTGCTGGTTGTACCCCTTAATTCACTCAGGTTGCCAAGAAAGTCCCTGCAGTTGAAAAGTGTTCAGCTCATCATTGTGAATGAGAATTTGCGATTCACTGAAGCATTTAGTTAAGTAAAGGAGTTAAAAAATAATAAGCAACAATTCAGGTGGGTAGCTGTGTCAGCGTGCGTAGGCTGCAAAGGAACAAGTAATAGGTTTATTCTATGCTGAAAAAAAGAAGAAAGAGAACACAACATTTTGCCCGTGGAGCCTTCTTCAGGTGTGAGCAGCAATTGTCAGCAACAATAAGCAACAATTGTCAGCCTAAGTTGGCCAAGCAAAATGTGTTTGTGACACTGTGCAATCGTCTGTGTAATATGCAATTTTCTGATGGAGGCTTTCATCTTGCCACCCACTGCAATAAGGAGAGGCCAGAATAGTGCATTCATTGCAGCTCACAAGGCTGAGATAACTGAAACATACATGAAGATAACATCAGCTACTAATTAAAATGTGCCCTGCTGGTGAAAAGATAGATCCCCCATCACCAGGCGGCAGGAAGCTGTAAAAAGCACGTGAGCTGATTTTCAGTTTTGACTCTAAATTTGACTCCAGTCACAATTCTTACCCCCACTGCGTGTGAAACTTTAAACTGCAAATTTAATCTTTTGGATTTTGCTTTGAAGTCATCAACATTTTTTTTTCTTTCGATTGGCATTACAACTGATGAAAAATCAAGAGGTCAAGAGTATTGAGGTTCTCTCCATGATGTGAGAAATTACGGCAGATGATTGAACCAGTCGGATTGCTGTGGAGAAAAACATGTCACGCCGCCCTGGCCTGCTGCCTCTGTGTCGCTTGAACGGTTGTTTCCTCCTGCAGGTGATGTAGCACGGTCGATACCATGTGAAAGATGAGCTTCCTGAAGCCTACTCGGAACCTGCTGCTGGCCTTGTGTCCCATGCTGGTCTTGGGATTCCTCTACTACTCGTCAGGGAAGCTGCACCTGCGCGTGTGGAGCCAGAAACCACGTGAGTACGCTAGCAGGCACTGTTCCCCGCCCTCCCCGGGGCAGAACCCCCCGAGGGACTTCGAGAGGGGCCTCACGGGCCCCCTCTGAGTGTCGCAGAGCCCGAGACACCGGCCACCCACCTCCTAGCTCCCCTGGCACGCGGCACGCGGGATCGCAGTGACCCGAGCCGTGAAAACGTCCACGCACGCACGCTCACACGCATGCACGCAGCTGGAGGTGCCAAATTGACTGACTGGGTGTCAGATTAACAGGAAGGCGGAGCAGG